ATATATATATAATGTAATGTGAAGATATTATAGGCTGATTTTTCTATAGCTGATGTATTAAAGCTTTTCTGAATGCAAATGAAGGATACCTCAAGCTTAACCCCAATTAGCAGCAAGGAAAACATCCTGTAAATCCACCTCATGGTTTTATCAAGGGAAAGGAGCTGAAGATGAAGTGATCTTTTAATAACTTCATTAAATGGTATTTGTCTACATCTGTAGCCTGACCAACCTGGTCTAGTGGAAGGTGTCCCTGCCCATGGCCAGGGGTTGGAATAAAATGAGCTTTAAGATCTCTTCCAACCCAAACCAGCCCGGGATTCCATGATTACTCAGAGCTGTCAGAAAAAAATGGGGCTGGACACCACCAATATTTAAAGGTGTTTTGAGACAACTCCTGGAGATTCCGTCCTGCCCTGAACACAACGGACCCTCTTCTGTCTCTTGAAGAGGGAAAGGGAGCCTTGGAGGTTTCACGCTCTGGAATTCATACTGTATCCACCTGCTCTAAAGCCCTGTTCCATCTGAGTGTTTTAATTAAACCATTTTCATGGCCCAACAACAGCAAGACACCAGAGCAGCGAGGTCAGACCCAGCCACGCAGCGTTTCCTTCACACGTCATTCCTGCCAAGCCCACGGGTGGCTTTTCAACCTGCTGCTCAGGCTTTTCCCCTGCCTGCACGGGGTACATTTTCCCCCTTGGATTGCCCTCTCCACCGAACAGCAGGATGACAACAGGCTCAAAGCCAGCTCAGGTGTGAGCAGCCAGTTTGCCAGCAAGGTGCTGGAAACTCTGCAGAGGGAAGAACATATTTATTCTCCCCGTGAAGCTTAACAATATGCTTGAATTATTTCACTTGAAAAGGGAGCTTTTCATGCACATATTAATACAGCAAAAGCCTATTCCATTCCCCTATTCCTTATAGCACATTTTTTTTTGACTGATGTCTGAAGTCACCTCCAGCTGCCTTTGCAATTTGCTTGATCTGCTTACTAGCAAGCAATCAGTGGGAAACTCTGCCACTTTCTTTGTCTCCCACATTTTTCTCCTAAGCATAAATTACTTTAGGAGAGCCCTCTCCATCTTCTCCATGAGATTTTTCAAGCACAGGAAAATTAACCTCTTACCCAACCCAGTGCGTGCTCTGTATTTATTTACCCCATTTATTGTGAGTGCCAAGCACTGGAACAGATCAACAAATTTCTTCAAATTACTCCCAAATTTCTTCAAATTACTCCCAAAAATGAATTTAAACACTGCTAGAACGAAAAGCCTGTACAGTGCCTGGAATGACATATTTCCTCCCACATCACTGTCCGTTTTAGAGCTAAACCTGACCTTAATCAACACTTTCACTGCCACACCAACTGTTGTCCACGTGGCTGAACCAGCCTCATCCTCAAGGACCTGTAAAAGTAACTCAGGAAAAAGTTCAATATGTTATTTTCCCTTCCATGGTCTTCGCTGTGGTTTAAGTGTTTGCAGAACCTCAACAACGTGGGGTTTCAGCACCAGGCCTTGCCCTCAAGTGCCTGATGTGCTCAAACTCCTACCAAGAATATGGAATTAAGACCTCCCAGAAGTGGAACTTAAAGTTACCCGTTTTTGCACCGACAAAACTTTCTCTGGAACGTTTTTCGCTTTTCACATCAAAGAAAAATATCCTGTATTTAATTCTCAAACCAGGAAGCGTCAAATGAATTGTTGAAATTTCTAACCCTTACAAATTCATGACCTTTGGAGATATTTCAAGTAGGTTTTAGACAGTTCTGAAAGTTTCCCTAAATTCCAAAACAACCTTCAATATGGCTTTATGTGGTGAATTCTGAAACAAATTTATCTACTAATTGGAGAGAGGTGATTTTGGATAAAAATACAGACCCTGGTGCAATTGTCTTTAATCAGAATCCAGGTGAATATGAGCCACAGTCTGAATCAATATTTTAGTTGTCTTCCAGCCTCAGGACTTTGCAATTTGTTGTCAGGAAGACAAAATAAAGCAGGTAACTATTACAAGAGAACCCGTGAAATAATCACAGCCTTACTCACATGGGTGAATATTAACCAAGAAGGAACAAAAAGTTTGTTTAGTTCTGGGTTAAAGACTCAAAACAATGCTGTACTCACGGGGGCTAATTGGTGTTCCAGTGTGGCTGAGGGATCAAGGAGCTTGGAAGTGCCACCAGCCAAGAAAAGGAGGAATTTTGTTAGTGTTTTGATGGATGTGCAGCTCTTAGAGAGGGATGTCTGTGGCAATGTGAGGGGAAGAAAGGATGACATTTATTCTCTCTTGCTCAGTTGACCTCCATTCCTTTTGCTCTTCATGGAATCCCAGAATGGTTTGGGCTGGGAGGGACCTTAAAGCCCATCCAGTGCCACCCCCTGCCATGGGCAGGGACACCTTCCACCAGCCCAGGTTGCTCCAAGCCCTGTCCAACCTGGCCTTGGACACTTCCAGGGATCCAGGGGCAGCCACAGCTTCTCTGGGCAACCTGTGCCAGTGCTCTTCCCTCATCCCTGTGTCTGTGGGACTCCCCCTACTATGGAATTCTGACAAAGTAGATATTTGAGATTTTCACTCGCTGCTTACAAAGTGCAAAAAGCCCCAAAGCCCAAGAGGTGGTGTGTGCAACCTTGTGGCCTTCACAGGTTTTGAAGCAGGGCAAATAAATGTGGGAGATGAGAGTAAGCAAGTTTAGGAAATAGTGGCAGGGATTTTTGGGATCAAACCTCCCATCACATTATCAGTGCGTGTAAATAATCCACACTGCACCTGAACAGACCTCTAAAATAACAAACAATAGGTCTTATCTAGTGGAAGGTGTCCCTGCCCAAAGCAGGGGGCTGGAATGAGGTGAGCTTTAAGGTCCCTCCCAGCCCAAACCCTTCCGAGATTTTTATGGATGAATGTGGGGAATGCCAACAACAGCAGTGGATGTACTGAAGTAGAGCACACCCAGAGAGCATTGCCCAGAAGCCACAAAAAGCAGAGTTCCTTCACTATCTGCTGTTAAATCTGGCATGTTTTGAATGTTTTGTTTGGTCTGTCCCTTTTAAACAACAAGTGCTATAAATATATGTATATTTATGTTGCATATAAAATCCTTACATGTCAAAATTAAGTCCAGGTACAGAGTCTTGTTTTCTTTCTTGCCTACTCAGATCAGAGTGATACATAATTTATCAACCATTTATCTTACTTATTTAGGTCTTTACAGCTGAAAATACCTACGGGCACAGAGCAAAATATTCGAGACACGTGAGGATCACACGCTGCAGTTTCCAACCACAGGGCCAAGGTCACTCTGCTGGGCAGACACTGAGTTACTGTAATTCCTACAAGATAAAAGAAAGGGTCAACCGTTCTTCCTTGGCTTGTCAGCACCACAAAAGCACTGGAAATCTGAATTTTCCTACTTTTAGAAGCAGAGGTTAATTTTCTTTTTGTTTTTACACCCTGTCCCTGCTCGTTACATGAGCTGCAGGGCTGGCATAGGGTTTTATAGGCACAGAACCTCTAGGAAGTGGGTGGTCTGATATGTAAATCACTTAGCAATTAACCATGAATTAACTAACTAAACTTAGGGTCTTGAACAGCAGGACCAGGTTAAGCTCAGAGGCTCAGGGCATGGAGGCACTGACAGTGTCTTCTCCATGTTCTCCTTTACCTTACCTAGAGAAGCCTAAAAACACAAAGCTGCTCAACAATTACTGTCCTGTATCCATATACAGAATTACACTGCAAAAAGAAATGAGTAGACTTACAATTATTTTTACTGCATTACCTGTGAAAAGTAGAGAAACAGAAAAATAAAGTTTTGGGGGTGAGAAAAATCTGGTGACAAATTGGCAGCCATTTGTTACTTTAAAGGAAGACTGAAGCCTGTTCAGTTCTGCATGTAAATAATTTCTGTCCCAAGGTTAATTAGCCCTTTTGCAGCTTGATGGGCTGGTTGTGTCTGATGTGACTGATTTGGTCACAGCTGGGGGACAACCAAGTTGCCCAGAGGTTTTAATGTCCTGCAAAAAGCGTGTCTGTGCATCCAGGAGGAATCTCAGGAATCATTGAATCCCCATTTAGTGAGCTCATACATCACAGCATTCAGCACCTGGGGAAGGGCTTGATCACCTCTGTGTGCTGGGGGAGGTTTGAACTCGCCCAGGTTTCAGCAGAGCAGCTCACTGATCCCTGGGACTGCCCTTCCTGCTCTGGATTCCATCGCTCTGCTGAAGCCCCCCAGCCCACAGCAGCAAGGGGGAACTGGGTGGGATGTGAACACCCAAGAACCCAAAGCATTAGGAAGGCACTTGAGCGCTGTTTCTTCCTTCTCCTGGGAGATAAAAGTCGGATTTTCAAATTATTGTTATTTTTCCTAAGCAACCCGTGTTTATTTAGACGCCAAAATACCGTTGCTTGGCTCTTACCTGTGGATTCATAAGATGAAGTTTTGTGTTTTGCAAGAGCTTCTTCCTTGGTGTCCCACCACACAGGGAACTGGGAAAATATGAGTAAAGGCTTTTTCCACTGCAAGGATTTGCCCTCAGAAAACTGTGATTCAGTAGCATCTTTTAAGCCAACACAGTTTTGTTAAGTGCATCTTACAACATCTGAGCAGTCATGAAAAGCCATTTCAATGCAGTTGAATCCTTCACTCTGACATTTATTACATTACACAGCAGAGCAGGAGAGTTTGCTTTTGTCACACAAATGTTGGGATTTTACATTGGGGTAAAACATTAACACTTCACCAAACTGAGCTGTTTAGACCCGGTCCAACTACTGGGCTCTGCTTCCTCGTTCTGATTTGAAAGGAAATCAAATTTAAAATAGCAAATTCTCTTCAAGTCCATGTGCAAGGCTCAGGTTACCACCTTCCTGTGCACTCTGTGCATGTTTGTCCAGCTCAGCCACCACTATTTTTGCAAGAGGAGCTTCGGCAAGGACAAAAAAGCATCAGTTCAAAACAGGGAGAGGTTACTGGAGGCAAAACTACTTAACTGGTGTTTTCCACCAGCTTTATTGGACCGAGGGGAATGTGCTCACCCTGCACAGGCTGCGGGGGGCTGATCCTTCCCAGCCCCAATCCTCAGCTGTGAGCGACATCAGAAACAAGCTTCGGGGACTGCCCAGAGCACAGGCCCCATTTTGGGTTCAAACCTCCCTCCCTTCAGCCTCTGCTCCTGCCACATCCCTCATCCCACCACACAATCCGCTGGCTAACGAGTCACAGTTCACAGCCAACAGGGAGAGCCCCGGGGCTGTGGATGGGCACAGAGACCTTCACACCCACACCCGCCGGCTCAGACCCAACCTCAGCTCTCTGAGCTGGGTCTGTGTCTGTCGGGATTAGATAAACAGGGTCTGACCGTCACACAGAAATGGCCTGGAGCAAATCCCCGGGGTTTAATGAAACCAGACCAGAAGGAATGGCACTAAATCCACAGCTGCAAAGCATCAGTGTTTCTGCTTCCCAAACACGCTGGCAAAACACTCCCCCCCGCTTTCTTTTAGAGTCGTCACGTTGATTCCGGTTCGTGTTTTCCAGCACACGCCCTGAACTAAACGTCTGGAATGTGTTAGGCACAAGTGGGATGCAGAAGGTGCCTCCTCCTCGCCTTCAGTGCTTCCTGACCTGACTTACACAAGCCCCATCCCCTGCACTCAGTGCTGGCCCAGCCATCCATCCTCACCATTCCGTCAAAACCAAACCTGATGGGGAACAGAAATAAAGCTGAATTACAAAATGACAACAAACTGTATCACTTTAGAATCATAGAAACGTGGAACGGTTTGGGTTGGAAGGAATCAAAGATCACCCCATCCCACGTGGCCCTGCCATGGGCAGGGACACCTTCCACCAGCCCAGGTTGCCCCAAGCCCCGTCCAACCTGGCCTTGGACACTCCCAGGTCTGTGAGATGCAGTCTTAGTGATGGAGTTTGTTCTGCAGTGGCAGAAGTTACAGTTTCACACCCAAAATAAGATCAGAGTTGCCTATTTCTTCCCTGCTCACTTTTGACTTGGTTAAAAATACACATCTGGATGAGAATTTGAGGGAAACCCAAAAGCCAAAATCACCTCATAGTCCTCAGGTTTCCGTGACCAGTTTGGCCACAGCCTTCAAGGAGGATGCACTGGGAGAGCATTTTTCTGATTAAAGGCAAAAGTACAAAGCTGGGCTGTGTTAAATTCACTGAGGTTTTTCTGGCAGGCCTTGGGATGGCCTCAGGAATGGGGCTGCTGACTCCAGGTGAAGATGGAACCATGGAGAAGTCCCAAGCACTGCTGAATGGTCCCCCACTGTGCAGACATCAGACACCCCTCCCACCCAGCAGCCTCATCACAGTGGGTTTCCCCTGAGAGCCCCTCATTTGCCCCCACCCATTCTGGGACCCAGCTGTATTTGTGCCATCCCTGAGATCCAGGTCTCTCCTCTCACTCCAGGATCCCCCCCAGCTCATGCTGGGAGTGCCTGCTTTGGCACTTCTATTCCCAAACATTTCCTGATCAAACCTAGAGACCTGGAGTCTTTCAGCTTGGCCTGTGCTGCCAAATTTCTGCTTGAGCCAAGTTTGTGGGGCTTAAATGGCCACATAAGGAATTCCTGTTCCTATTGCATCCAATCTCGTGGGTTTGGGTTTGTCTAAAGGTTGTTGAGGATTCTCCCTTCCTTTCCTTGCCCCGGTGCCTGCCCTTCGCACGCACAGCAGTGTGATGATGTTTGTGTTGCCATGGGGAATTCCTGACAGCCTCTCCTTTTCACCTCTCGTGAGAAGGGCTGGTGGATGGAACTTAATGGGATGAGTCACATCCCTACCCAAACCTGTCCCAGTGAGTGCCACAGCAGTAAGAGTGATGGGGGGGGATTTGCAGCTTCAGGAAACACAAGTTATGTAAATACAAGTGCTTTTTTCACCTTGCAGTTCATGTACTGGAGGAGTCTTTATAATATATAGCAAGAAAATGTTTCATTTTTTAAATTATATTTTCAGGGTAAGTATAAAACTCAACCAAAACTCGTAACCCAGTTTAGAGTCCAAGTGTCCAAGAAGACACCTGGGAGATGCTGTGGAACTATTATCTTTCCATCCCAAATGTGAAGTAAAGACCCCAACAAAAGGAGTGGGGGAGGAATATCCTTTTTTGGTTGCTAAACAAAGAGAATGAACAGGAAGCTGTGGAAAAACTGAGTTTTATGGCACATTGCATCTAAGTTCTTTGTGCTTGTCTTTTAAGACTAAATAAAATAGTCTGGAGACATTATCAAATTCACAATCCTTCTGGGACAGGAATTGTTCCTGATCAATGATAACTGACAAATTCAGCAACTGAGCAAGAAAAATGACACACATTGGGAGCCCCTCCACAAACTGCTCTCTAATATAGCCTTGGAATGGTTTCACCCTTTGAAACCCCTGTTTATCCCAGCAAAAAAATCAATCAGCATCCACAGAGAAGTAGGAGCTGACTGGTTAAGTTTCATCCCACAGACAAAACATGCCCAGGGGAATGAGGAAGAGCACTGGCTGTGGAACCATCCCCTGCCAAAAGGAATTTTCTTCTCACTGCTGCAAGCACGAGGTCAATGCTCCGGTGCCCTCACACTTGTCAGGTCAAGGGGATTTTATTCTGAGCATCTGCTGGTGAAGAAAAAGGCAAGCAGAGATTCCCAACGTCTATCCCAGCAGCTGGAGCCTGCCAAAAGGTCCAGGGAAAGAACACGAGCTCAAGGCCAAGCTTAGTGTGAGACAGAGCCCAGCAGAGCTGAGCTTACCTATCAGAGTCCTTCCCACTCACTCCAGGCCTGCCTGGTGGCACTTCCATACCCTTCAGGCAGAAAGCACCTTCCACATTCTGCACCTTAAGTCAGGTCTGACATCCAAAATAATTCATTCTCTACACTCACCTTTTACTGCCTCCTAGGGAATGTGCCCTTGGTTGGAAAAAAGTACTGCAGGAATAAACCAGATGGACTGAAGGGAGGGAAATGAGAAATGAAGGACTAACTTTCTAGGCCAAGGGAAAACTCTGCGTGTTTGGCTTCACATCATGTGTCAGAAGAGGTTTTTTCCTGCATTATTCCTCTCTTTTCACATTATTTTTAATATAAAGTATGGCTAAGGCTGTAAGGCCCAGTGTTCTGCTCTGCTGAAGAACAAAATAAGAACCCTTTTCTAAGTTTCTGATCATACAGAGATGGATTTTTCCATTTGAAATTTATGGATGCAGATTTAACAGAGGTTTTTTTTTTTGCAGACTGCAGTGAAATCACAGCTATTAATTTACAAAGGAGCTTCTGGGGAGCCCAAACCACTTCTAATGTCTGAAAAATCACAGAATCCCAGAGTGGTTTGGGTTGGAAGGGACCTTAAAGTCCATCCAGTGCCAACCCTGCCATGGGCAGGGACACCTTCCACTAGCCCAGGTTGTTCCAAGCCTCGTCCAACCTGGCCTTGGACACTTCCAGGGATGGGGCAGCCACAGCTTCTCTGGGCAAAACCTCAGAGTGAGGGGTTTTGAATGATTTTAGCAGAGGAAGGGGGGCTCTGGCACACAGACAAAGGGGGAACCCCACACCAACAACCCCACGAGGTCCCAGCAGTGGCAGGTCGAGAGCTCAGTGCACGTGGGGACACTGTCACCCCTCCACAGACAGTCCAGACCACCAGTTTTGATGTACCTGCAACCCACAGCAGCACCTGCTCCTGCTTTTCATGACCAGAATCAGCTGTTGGATCCAAACAGGCCCGGAGGAACTTCCCTTCTTCCCCTGCTTTTTAAGAAATCCAAGATGAAAGGCAGTAAAGACCCACCACCCATAACCCACAGTGTCATCTGCCCCACACCACCCAGCTGTTCCACGTCTCTTCACAATAACAGTGCAAATACCACAGAAATTATCAAAATAAACTGGCTGAAAACAGCAGGTGGCAAATATAGTTTTATTTGTTATCGTCTGATAACTCTGTGATAATACAAACTGTATAAAGCATGATAAAACTCTTCCATAAAATAGAGTAGGTACATATTATAAAATAAAAAATACAAATATTACATTCCCAAAGGGAAATATAACATTAAAAAGAAAATATTACAATATATAATGGTACCAGTTCCTTCCTGTATTCCAAAATTCATGGAAAATGTTTAAATTATGCAGCACTAAGACAAGTTACTTTCATTTTCTTGCTTGATTTTAAACATGCACTAATTCAAACAGAAATAAAACCTATTGATCAATGCAGAAAATGTTATTTAATCACAGAACACTGCATGTAGACTTAGAGCAACCTGGGATAGTGGAGGTGTCCCTGCCCATGGCAAGGGGTGGAACAATGTGAGCTTTAAGGTCATCCAACCCAAACCATTCCAGGATTCTGGGATGCAGTGGCTGTTAAAATAAATGCATTTTAATTACTTCCCTTCCCGTGGACTTACAGATTTTAGCAATTAAAGTCTTTGGAGATGCCACTGCATTTTCTGTGCATTTGCAGAGTTACCTCAACACTTGTTGAGATGGGACTGAAACAATCTGTGGCTCTGCACCATCTTTTATTATTTACAGGACTCAAAAATATTATTTCAAATAACCCTTAAGACATGAACTACTTCACATTCTTACCTGGGCACATTTTATCCCTCCCCAGTAAACATTCCCCTGTCCCTTTGCAGAAATGTGATGGTTCAATCATGGTCAAATGCAAAAATCACTGTCAAGTTACATATAAACATTTTGGTCAGGAATACACAAACCAACAATAATTTAACACACAGGTGCCAGTAGCTCAAGGATTCAAGCAATGTAATTTGGAGGATCAAAAAAAGAAAATGTAAGAGGTTTGGGGTTTTGCTAAGTGGTACAGACGTTGTTAAACAGCAGAAAGGTGGATTTCAATCTTATTTCTTTCCAATCCCATCTTACCTTTCAAGCTACGCCCAGTTTACATCAATTAAAAAAAGACCCTGAACCCGATGATCTCAAAAACAACCCCCTAACTGCACATCTGTTAAAAATCAGGATCTCAGCACACTGAAATGTGTTTAGTTTAAAAAACCAGCAGTACAAAACGATACTGAAACTCGAGAAGCCCCGAGAAAACGTGTGGAGGAGCGGGTGAGGAGCTGCTGGAGGGGCTGTGGTTCCAGCTGTAGGGGCAGGAGCAGGACCCAGGCACGGCCTCTACGTGTGGTTGTTGTTGAGGTGGCTCTTGTTGAAGAACCTCCTGGCCTCCACACTGCTCAGGGACACCGAGCAGCGCGACGGGTTCTCCTTGCGGTACTCGATGCTCTCCAGCACGGCCTCCCGGATCACCTGCAACACAGGGACAGCTTGGAACACAGGGAATAACAGGGATGGACCCACAGAAAAACCCTGCTTCTGCTCCACCACTGGGCAAAGGCACTGAGGAGTTTTATTAAAAATGCTATTTCCTGACTGCATAAAACGCTCATCATAATGGGGTCGGTAAAGGTACAAGGTCAAGTCACACAACAATGTCAAGTCACACAACAAATATTTACTAACTGACAGAAAAAGCCCCTTCTGATGGGAACAACTCTTGCTTCCATTTTTAACTCCTTTGAAAATGATAAATTTTATTAAAAATGCTATTACCTGACTGCATAAAACGCTCATCACAATGGGGTCAGTAACGGTACGAGGTCAAGTCACACAACAAATATTTATTAATTGACAGAAAAAGCCCCTTCTGATGGGAACAACTCTTGCTTCCATTTTTAACTCTGCTCCACCATTGAAAATGATGAGTTTTATTAAAAATGCTATTACCTGACTGGATAAAACACTCATTTTAATGGGGTCAGTAAAGGTACAAGGTCAAGTCACACAACAATGTCAAGTCACACAACAAATATTTACTAACTGACAGAAAAAGCNTCACACAACAATGTCAAGTCACACAACAAATATTTACTAACTGACAGAAAAAGCCCCTTCTGATGATAACAATTCTTGCTTCCATTTTTAACTCCATTAAAAATTATGAATTTTATTAAAAATACTATTACCTGACTGGATAAAACACTGATTTTAATGTGGTTAACAAAAGTATGAGGGAGGCCGCTAATGTCAAAGAAGCCACACAACAAATATTTATTAACTGACAGAAAAAGCCCCTTCTCATTGGAACAACTCTTGCTTCCATTTTTAACTCTGCTCCACCATTGAACAAAGTATTTTTAATAAAACTCATCAATCCCTATTACTTGACTGTATAAAACACTGATTTTAATGTGGTTAATATAGGTATGAGGGAGGCCATCAATGTCAAAGAAGTCACACAAAAATATGTGTTTAAAAAAAAGATCAGTGTAAATACAGCATTTACACTTGAGTCCCAATGAAATTCAGAAGGGTAAATCAAAGCATTGAGAAAATCCATATTTAAAGGATATAAAAATAATTATAGAATATAATTATTATTATTTAAAAAAGGATAAATAAAAATAAATATCGAGAATGATTAAATCTTTACTTTTGCTTCCTTTGTCCTGATGTAACCATTTTCTTTACTATATTGATAATCCCCTCCCTTGTGTCTTTATCTGGGGTGATCATTTACACTTTTCACTCTGCAGATGTTGGGATCACTATGTTGTGTTGCACCTACTATCAATTACAAATAATTATTATTGAGTTAGAAGTAGAACTGATAAAGAAATCAGTAATAAATCTTAATCAGCAACTGATAAAGAAATTTCCAATTTCCTCTTTTTCCAGTTAGAAAAATCAACATGCTTAAAAATCTGAGTATAAAATTCTGAACATATTGTCTCCACCCCAAAGCCCCTTTTGCTCAGTTACTCTGAATGGTTTGGGATGGTGAAATGGCAAAAACAAGACAAGAACCAAATGAGAAAGTCAGGCAAACACTGAAGCAAAGGCCTGTATGGAATATTTAGGGTTTTACTCACATCACCCATTCCCCCACTGAACAACCTTTAAACCCTCCCAACATACATCTATGTTATTGAGGGTGTTGAACTCCATCAGGTCATGGAGCCTCTTGAAAGCCTCGTTGGGATATTGGAAGTTGAAGGTAGAGAAAGGTGTATTTGGATCATCAAAAATGTCAAAGTCTGCAAAATCCTTCTCTTCCTGTGTTTCCCTTGGAACTCCTGCACAGAACAAACACAAAAACACCACCAAAATGTTAGGCCTGCTCATCCACCACCTGATTTTGGAATGGCCCTTTTGGATTCCCTCGGGGCTGCAGACACATTTGGGAGTTATTTGAGAGCCAAAGCATTTGTGGTGCATAACCACCATGGCATTCCAAAGGAACAGGGATTCAGCAGCAGAAACTGTGCTCACCTGGAGCTTTGTACTTCCTGAAGTCGATGTTGGCCAAGACAAAATGGATTATGGTGGGACAGTCCTTCTCTGAAGAGGTGTCCTTTGGTTTGAACACATAGCACTCCTTCAGGCCCTCTCTGTCAAACACATTGGGGTCTATTTTGGGGAAAGGCAGCTTGTTCATTCGAGCCCATTTCTCAGCCAGCAGAATTTCCTGAAGAGGTACAAAGATTCAGGTCCATGAAAGCATCCACTGAAAAGTGAGGAGGTTTGGAGAGACACGGGGCAAACTGGTTGGTAGAAGCAATTGATAAACTATTCAGGGCCCAGGAAGGACATGGAGCTGTTGGGGCAAGTCCAGAGGAAGCACCAAGATTATTAGAGGGAGGAAGCAATGAGGAAAGGCTGGGAGAATTGGAATTGTTCAGCCTGGAGAAAAGAAGGCTTAGGGTGACCTAATTGTGGCCTTGCAGTGCCTGAAGGGGCTACAAGAAACATGGAGAGAGATTGTTTACAAGGGATGGAGGGACAGGACAAGGGGAAAAGGCCTCAAGTTGCCAGAGGGCAGGGTTAGATGGGATATTAGGAAGGAATTGTTGGCTGTGAGGGTGGGGAGGCCCTGGCACAGGTTGCCCAGAGAAGCTGTGGCTGCCCCTGGATCCCTGGAAGTGTCCAAGGCCAGGTTGGATGGGGCTTGGAGCAACCTGGGCTAGTAGAAGGTGGGATGGAATGAGATGGTCTTTAAGGTCCCCTCCAACGCAAAGCATTCCATGATTCTGTGATACAAAGGACTGATCAAATCAATCTCTGATTGATGACCCAGAGTGGCAAACTGAGCACCTCCTTCAGCCTCTCAGTCTCCACCACCAGCGCTGATTCATGGCAGGCAAAGAGCTGGTCTGGCCCACAAAACTTGGAGTGACTCTACAGAGGGAAAACCATCCCTAATTTGACCTGCAAATGGAGTATCAGCACTATGGAAACCAAGGAGAGTTCACAAACACCAAGCTGTGCATTGTTGTGCTCAGAGTCACATCGCAGCCCAGAGCGGCGTTTGAAAGCACACCGAGTGCAGAGAGCTGGAAAACAGGCTTTTTTCTTCCTCATGACAACTCAGTAAACAAAATAATTTGTAAACAATGACTCAAGAGCATGCAATGAGGGCGTGTGAGAGGGAGGAGAGGGAAGGTCAACAACTTTAATCGTGGTTTTCAATGAAACAGGACCCTTCTTCGGGCGACTGTCTGAGATACGCAGGAGATGAAAAGATAGTGGGTGCAAAATGATAAACCAAGAGTGGAGTCACTGAGCTCAGCTGGCTAATTTCCCCAGCAAAGCACAATATTAGTGCTACCATAGAGACAGGCCCACTCTTGAAGTGGCATTTGCTCTTTGCAATGCAAGCAGAACCAGTGGGACACACAGCCAGCAAACACAACTGGTTCCTGGCCTTGAAACCATGAGCACAAAGCCTCTGCCTCTGGACTACAGCTCTTCTTCTTCCACACCTCTTTGTGCCTCAGGAACAACACTCCATCCCCTTCAACAGTGGCTTCAGGAAAACAAAGCCATCATTTCTTTTTCCCACCGTTTTTTCTTGTATCAAAGGATTTTTTTGCCTTTTTAAAACTACAGTTTAGAGAGAACTCCTCAGGATGCCACTTGACTTCCAACCAATCTCTCTCCATGTCCCCAAAACGACACAAAAAATTGCTGCTGATGAAGACAATGTGTAGGGTAAGGGTAACAGGGATGACCATACACAGCCTTTTGCACAGGGTCCACGTGTGGAATGTTAAAAAAGGGAGGAAAAAGAGATTTCAGAGAAGATGGCAGTGCTGTGTCAGCAAATTTAGCTGATGGGGAAAATATTCATGACAAAAAAGGAGATATATTCTTATGCAAATTGAATAATAAAGGAAGAAACACTCTGGGATTCAGTGAATTAAGGAAAAAAGGAATTAAGGATCTCAGCACTAGGAAGAGTCTTCTCAGTGCTCTGTTTTTCCCAGTAGCCCCAAGAGACCTAGAGATTACAGAAATTACTCCTTTTTATTCTCCTGAAACTTGTTTGTCTTTGCATTTGACAACACTGATCTCGAGCTCATTTTGCTACTGCTGTTATTTCCTAACATCCTCAATATTAAGATGAAGGAAAAAAAATAATCTGTTTGTTCTAATTGGAATTTGTCTGTAAAGCAACAAGCAACGTCAGTTGTTTTTCAAACAGAAATATTTTCTGGGCTTCCTTGAAAATTCTTTTTGAAATCTTCTTTGAAATAAATATGGCCTTTTTTGAGGATCACAGAATCACTGAGTTTGGAAAAGACCTCCAAGATCATCAAGTCCAACCTTCAGCCAAATTCCACTGTGCCCACTAAACCTTATCTCCAAGTGAGAACCTCACAGTAGCCTCTGAAGTGCTGGTTTTTTCTGTATCAGTTACCAAAATGACCCCATGCCAAGCCTTTGGGATGAGAAGGAGCTCTGTGGATGCACAGGTTGTACAGGTACAGCTGTGCTTTCCACACCTGCTACACAAAACAACCGTGTCCTTTACTCCCTGTTTTTCTGGTGCCGTTTCGCTCCGGCCTGAACGGATTTAAGAATCCTGCTGACACCAGTGCTGGGATGGTCCCAGGGAGATGTAAAGGGACAGCTAGCCCTGCTTCCAAGAGGTTATTTAGCAATACCAGAGTGAGTAAGATGATGCATTTCTGCAGGATGATGACATTCATTTACATCACAGCACACAGGGAGCAGCTGGACAGAGTTAGAGCACCAGGGCAAGGACAACTGACTTCATTGTTTAATACTGACATAAAATAAAACTCTGCAATCAGCATGAAAGCAAAATTTCCATAAAAACAACTACTTCAAATGAATTTCCTTCCTTTGAAATAGCCTTCTTTGTGTTAGTTGTGCCATGTAAGTCATGTAAACAGGAACTGAGACACAGGGCACTATTCTGCTTGACGTGGAAAGAAATATTCTAGTGTTGTAGCTACAGCAGCACCTTCTGGGACCATGAAATGTGGGAACAACATGACTGGAAGAATACAACTGAGTCAACTTGAGCTCCTGACCCCAAAGGAGGGGATGGTCTGTCTTACTTACCTTGAAAGGAGGGCTGGAATCACTTGGCCTTGCTGAGAAATCAAAAGAGATGATGAGATCGACGCCTCTCTGAGGCCTCAGGATGAGGGGGTATGGCAGGTTAAACGTCAGCCCACTGTCCACAATGTGAATCTTCTTGCTCTTCACATCCAGTGGCTCATAGATCCTCTCAAACTCATCAGGATCTGTGCAGAACACAGAGAAACCAAAAAAACCCCCAGTATATACGAGTTAAGAACTCAAGTTTTGATGGGCTTTCCAGTGTTTTCCCAAGGACTGGAGATTGCAAAGGATTTAAAATGTACAGGACATCCCAGCTAAACATACCACGAACTCAAGTGTAACTCAAGCTCTTAACAAGTGGAGAATGAGGTGGGAAAAAAAGGAGCTAGAAAGGCCCTGTCCCAATGCACAGAAATGGCTCCAGGCAACACTGAAGGGGACAAATGGCCAGGTTTGATCCCAGCCTTTCCACCTTCACCCCATCAGCTCACACACAAAGGAAAGAGTTTATGGGATGTTAAGAGACAGAATCCAAATGCCCATCTGGCAGTGCCAAGAGGATGGTCCCAGACCCTTTTTGGTGGTGCCCAGAGACAGGATGAGCAGCAATGGACATAAACTAAAACACAACAAGGAAGAACTTCTTTCCATGGAGGGTGGCAGAGCCTGGAACAGCTGCCCAGGGAGGGCCTGGAGTCTTCCTGTCTGGAGACATCCCAAACCCACCTGGATGCTTGCTTGTGTCCCCTGCTCCAGGTGACCCTGCCTTGGTGGGGGGAGGGTTGGGTGGGCGATGCCTGAGGTCCCTTCCAACCCTAACAATCCTGTGATCCCCTCAGTGTCCTGTAACCCCTGCCCAAATCTCTTCCCCCAGGTTCCCTCTCCCTGTCCCTCATCCTCCCCAGCTCTTCCCCCTAAGAAGCCTCGACGTGGCTCTGCTTTGGTGTGATGTTTGTCCACCACCTGCTTCTGTCCATTACATTGGGACTATCAAGTCTTGTTTTCCAACTACACCAAATCTGGTGACCTCACACTCACTACTCCACCAGGAAGAAAAAGAAACAGTGACCTATATCCATATCTGAGATTGCAGCAGAATTCCCTGTGAGCCACTCCCTGCCAGTGCTGTCTCAGAGTGGGACAAACCAGCCTCCTCTCTCAGCCCAGCTGAGGGCTGAAGGAGATGATGCTTCCCCTGTAACCCCAATATTCCCTGGATGCAGCTCAGGAAAAAAACAATCGATTTTTCTGAAGTCTCTTTGCACTTATTCAAGTCTCTGGATGCCCCTAAACAATCCCTGCTGGACTCAAAACTTTTCCCATGATGGTCTTTTCTTGCTCTGGATCTTTTCCAGTGCATGGTTTTGCTTTTTGACTGAAAACTAATCCTTGTATCTGTAGAGGGCAGTGTGATCTAAGGAATGCTGGATAGGATAATATAATTATTTCTGGTGTAATTAAACTTCCCAGCACCTGCTTATTTGCAATAGAAGTAATCTGAAAAAAAAAAGAAGACATTTTAAAGTGAAGAAAATCCATCCAAAATAATTCAAACTCTTATTCCTATCACTTCAGGATCCGTGAGAAAAATTTACTGCTACGAGCAGCAAAAAAAAAAAAAATCTCAGAAGAGATGCTTTCACTTTTTATCTCTGTTGTTATTTATTAGAGGACACTTTTCTAAGAAATGAGGCCTCATTGTTCTACTATTTGCCTTGATTTCTAAGGGAGAGAACACTTTTAAATCACTGCCTATTGCAAAAGGGCTGTGTTTATAGCCCTGTTTTAGAACCAGATATATTTCATAATAATGACTTAGCATAAATCTATGAAAATAAATTAGTACTTATCAAATTCACCATAATTAAAAAAATGGTAAAAATACACTTAATACATTTCCTTTTAGCACAAGCAGAAAAGTTTTGATTTCCTCTTCTTGTTTAAAGACATTTCAAAAGTAATTAAATCCTTGTTCTCTATAGAATTTCTAAAAATTGTGGAAACATTTTTGTTCATGTTTTGCCTTTTCTTACTTTACAAAAATTGGCCTTGGACACTTCCAGGGATCAAGGGGCAGCCACAGCTTCTCTGGGCAACCTGTGCCAGGGCCTCATCACCCTCACAGAGAAGAGTTTCCTCCCAACATCATCAATAAATTTATAATGACCACAGATTGGCTTTAGTGATTATAGGAGAAATTTAACTTATGAGTTTATCTCATGCAGAGACAGATAATAAGAACTGTTTGGAAATAAAAACAGAGACCATGTTCTAGAGACCAAATTTGTCCCAAACAGCAGCTCCAGTGGAAATATGGGAGATGAAAAGGGCATTTGCTTCTGACGTGCATCTGCCATAACAGTTTCCATAAACACTGAAATAAAGGAGCAGAGATCAGGGGTTATTTTTCCCTATTGTTTTCATGTGGCATTTTCTCAAGTCACTTTGGTGTGTTGTAACATCAAGTAAAGAAGCAGAATAAACTCTGAGCTCACAATGAAATCATTGAAGGGGGGTGCAAAGCTTTGAAGTGCATTTGAGATGAAATAAGGAAACATTCAGCATAAATAGAATCTACAGAAAAGCAAATCCAAGGGTTTCACTTCCAGACCAAGCAGTTGGGATTTCTGCTGCAGGCACTGCAGCCCCTAAATTCAGTCTCAGGAATGACTGTAACATCAGCTTAGGCCAGCCACAGTTCATCCTCTGGGAAGGTCTGGCACAACTGGAGACGTAAAGTATTATTTATATCCTTTTAGAGTCACTTATTTCTCCTTTGGAATGTCTGGTAATAAAGGAAAGTCAGTCCTAAAGCATTACAGACTTCTCTCTGTACTCAAGCTGACAGGTAAACTGCCAGTGGTAGAATAAATATGCAAAGCTTAAATGCATCCAGTGCCTTGGTAATAGAAGTATTTTAAATTTACACCAAAGTTTCCTTTCTATCTATCTATTTCCTTTCTATCTGCTCCTCTGGGCTCCTCAGCACTTGCAAGGAAAATTCACAGCATTAAAGTGCAGATACACTTATCACACCACTGAATGATTAAATTTTACAGTAACTGCTGAAGCTTCAAGGGGTTTTTAACTATTCTTGACTATAATATTGCAGCTACTCGTAGCTGTCAGTTTTGTGTCTTCAGCTGACACTAAAACAACTGCTGTTATGTGAAACTTTTCCCACACATTTTAACCCCAAGAAGTTTCAGGCCCTCCAAAGTAATTGTCTCAGAGGTGAAGGTTTGTTTTGTCAACCCAGAATTTTATTTCCATTGAAATTAAACCCCAGGAAGTCAATAGTTGATTCTGAACATTATCCACATGTCTTAATTATGCAAAATTCTCATCGACTGTCATTTTTTCCAACCATAAAATTTCCCACCCGCTTTCCTGCCTCTTTTACAACTACTATAAATATTAAGACTACCCAGTTGTAAACATCTCTGAGATGATGAAAATATTTAGAAAGTGGAGTCCAGATGGAAATGACTATCCAGCCACTCGGAGGGATTTGTTACATTAACAAATACACATCAGAGCGCGGCTGCTACTTGAGCTTGTAAATGACATCTGGTATTTACTGCTGCAGAAGGAGCAGTTGGGACAACCTCTGAGCAGAAAATAAGGGCTGAAGTGATGACTATTGTTACTGGGGATGGGTGGGAGAGCTGTGGTGCTAGAGCACGGAAGGAACACGACCTTCAGAGAGCTGCAGCTCCTCGGTTTGATGGAACACAATCACGGAATGGTTTGAGTTGGAAGGGACCTTAAAGATCATCTCATTCCATCCCCTGCCATGGGCAGGGACACCTTCAACTAGCCCAGCCTTGCCCTGAACAGCTCCAGTGAACACAACAGTGTCAGAAAAATACTAGGAAACTAATTGATTGTCACTGAGAAGGCTGCAGTGAACACTGCACAGCAAAGCTTCAAAATCCAAATCAAACACGATCCCTAATTCTTCACAGCTACTGTCCCAAACACCACATAACCTGTGGAGTGGGGGAAGACTTTGAACTTCTATGGCAAATTAATATTTTTCTGAAATTCTTCTCTTCCATCTGCATTCCTGCTTAAGCCAACATGAAACATCTGCACATCAGTCACACAGAAATGTGAGTGGCTGGTCAGGTGCATCCACACTGGGAAGAACATGGTGCCAGCAAAGCAAGGATCTACAGGCTGTGTCAGGGGAGGTTTAGGTTGGATCTCAGGAGAAGATTCTTCCCCCAGAGGGTGGTTGGGCACTGCCCAGGTTCCCCAGGGCAGTGGGCACAGCCCCAAGGCTGCCAGAGCTCCAGGAGCTCTCAGGAACCGGGGAGATTGTTGGGGTGTCTGTGCAGGGCCAGGAGTTGGACTGGATGGTCCTGTGGGTCCCTTCCAGCTCAGGGGATTTTATGATTCTACAAGTGCAGCAGTGTGTTGCCCCCAGAGATTTTTCAGAAGACAGCTACAAAATTGTGGCAACAGGGAAGCCCTGTAGGAGAACAAGGAAAAGTTTTATCTCATCAATAAGAGACGGAACAACACAGGACACCCTTTGGAGAAGGCCAAGAGAGTGAGAAAGTGGATGTAACGAAGGGCACCCTACACAAAAGCAATTTGGTCACCTCTGCCAGCAATTCTCTCCAAACAGAGAGCCACTGTCCCTCCAGAAGGGACTGGCTGGGGACAGAGGAGGGAGGCAGCAGATACGAGTCACTGCATGGTGCCCTTTGAGCCCCCCAGTCACCTCACAACCTCTGCTGTCGGTCAATCCTCACAGGAACATTCTCCTGCTCCCAGTACATGCTTTTATAAACCTCCTGGTGTGAACACCCAGCATTGTCTGTGAACTGACCTGCAACGGCCGCGTCGAGCTCGTCCTCCTCCACGGACTCCTGGGTGAGCAGCTCTGCCAGGGGGGACAGGGGGTAGCAGCTGTTGAGGTTCAGCCCCAGCATGAAGTTGTGCACCTTGCCAGCACGGCCCTCCCGGGTGTTGAAGAGGGCACTGTCCCCCACCAGGGCCATGAGCATGCGCTGCACCCAGCTCTCCTGGCTGCTCTCCTGCTGCTCCGGCCGGGCCTCGGCGCTGCCGGTGCCTGCAGGGGCAAGGACAACACCCCGGCCAGGGTGAGCACAACACCCCGGCCAGGGTGAGCACAACACCCCGGGCAGGGTGAGCACAACCACCCCGGGCAGCGGTGAAGCACAACACCCCGGGCGGTGAGCACAACACCCCGGGCAGGGTGAAGCACAACACCCGGGCAGGGTGAGCAAAACAACACCCTCCGGCAGGGTGAGCACAACACCCCCGGGCAGGGTGAGCCCAACACCCCCCGGGCAGGGTGAGCACAAACCCAGCCAGGGTGAGCACAACACCCCAGCCAGGGTGAGCACAATTATCGACACCCCAGCCAGGGTGAGCACAACACCCCAGCCAGGGTGAGGCACAACACCCAAGGCAGGGTGGAGCACAACACCCCAGCCAAGGGAGCACAAACACCCCCAGCCATGGGGCAGCACAACACCCAGGCCAGGTGAGCAACCCACACCCATCCCAGCCAGGGTGAGCACAACACCCACAGCCAAGGGAAGCACAACACCCCAGCCAGGGTGAGCACAACACCCCAGCCAAGGGGAGCCCAACACCCACAGCCATGGGAGCACAACACCCAAGCCAGGGTGAAGCACAACACCCAAGCCAGGGTGAGCACAAACACCCGCAGCCAGGGTGAAGCACAACAACGCCCTGAGCCAGCGGTGAGCACAACACCCCGGGCAGGGTGAGCACAACACCCCAGCCAGGGTGAGCACAACACCCCAGCCAGGGTGAGCACAACACCCCAGCCATGGTGAGCACAACACCCCAGGCAGGGTGAGCACAACACCCCAGGCAGGGTGAGCACAACACCCCAGCCAAGGGGAGCACAACACCTCAGCCAGGGTGAGCACAACACCCCAGTCAGGGGGAGCACGACACCCCAGCCAGGGGGAGCACAACACTGCTGGGGCTGCTAAAGCAAAGGACCTGGAAAAACAATGTCACAGCATCCTTTCAGCGAGCTGTGGGCTCAGGGAGGGAGCTTTGCTGCAACCATTTCAGAGCAACAGAGAGAATCCAGCCTCAACTGTCCATCTGCAGTGTAATAGTGTGGATGTGTCCCTCAGGAAAATACACTGGGAACTTCTTAGATGACCTGTCTGGATGAGGGCAACGAGGCTTTCTCTGTGCTGGCACTCAGAATGCAACTCTCCTGGGCTCAGGGACAGACAGATCTGAGTTGCCAAAATCTGTGCTCTGTGTAGACCTAAATTCTTCTGGATGTGCATTGACAGCCTTCTCCACCCTTTGATGGTACCCAGAAACCCCTTTTTCCTTCAGAAGGCATGAAAGAATGCATGGAAACGCTAAAATAATTAAAATTAAAAATAATTAGCACGGGAATTCTAAAATATCTGAAAATACACTTACGGTAAACTGCAGACTACAATTAATATCTGGTTTTAATTAACTGAAGAGCACAATGAAGCAATCAGACTTGTATGTCTGCAGCTAGAGCTCACAGTAAAAATTACCTGGATTGGCACCACCTTGCATTCATAAACTGTCAAAACTTAAATTTTTGGGATGTTTTGTATAAGAAGATAATTCAGGCTCCAGCTTGATACTTTAAATCCAGCTTTTAAATGTGCCTCTTTAATCCATGCCTTAATGGAGCTAATTTTTTATATTAGTAGGGAGAAAACAAGCACCATAAAGTGTAGAGGTTCAGTATCTGTACAACATTCTATGGAAGTGAGAGGGATTGCCAAGTGTTTGCAGTCACAGATTTGTAGGTAGTTCACTATGGCTACAAACTATGAGGGAAATGGAGTGTTTGGTGCTGGCTGTAATGATTAAACAGGAAACCCACAAATAAACACAAGATGTGGTACCACCTACAAAATTATTTTACACATAGGGGGAATTGAAGAAGTAATCATGGAACTGAGGTAGTGACATAATTCCCTGTCTCATGACAAAGGATTTTCTTTTCTTCCTGTAGATCCTGAAATCACGAACAGCTGCATTCCCATCTTTGTTTTGGTTGTTAAAATTATAACCAGGGGTTTTTTTCAGTTGAAAATCATTGTTGGCCCCAAAAACATCATCAGAAAGCATTACTAGGCTGAGACTGAGCCCCTGACTAAAACCACAGAAATCCCCAGGTGGTTTAGATACTTCAAGATAATTTTCAATCAGATCTTTTCTTCCCACTCCCAACACTCCCTTTGTGGTTGTGCCTGTCCTGGGAAGCTGGATCTGGGCAGTGTTACAAACACTGAGCCAAGCTCTGGGAATTTCCTGTATCAAATGTCATTTCTACAGGTGCTAGAAGACACCTGTGAATGCTGGAACCACAAATTAAACCATTCTCAGGTGAGTGTTTGATCAAGAAACCCTTGAAAACAATGGAAAGTTTCAGTTTGCTGGGCTGGTGACAATTCCAACGTGGCTCTGAGCTCAGCTGCTTGCTGGGAACACACCTCTGGAGCTCACTGGCTCAGCAAACCACATTTTGGGGTGGATGTGGAACTCCAGAGCTCTGGGAAGCCCTGCTGAGCTATACAGAAGCTGCAGAAAAAAAAGGAAATCAGGAAATGAAAACTGATCATTTCCTTACCTTTTGGATGCTGTGATTCATCTTCACTGTCTGAGCTGTCATTGCTTACGAGGTGCTTGAGCCTGATATTTTCTGTTAAAAGAAATATAAAATTCCTTTAAACTGCTGGGCTTTAACTCTCAAAACAGCTCAGAATTTCACAGCAATCTGAGTCACAAAACTGGCCCAGTCTTTGCAATAGAAAATACAGCTGAAAAGACTGGATCTGCTGAGGACATTAGAGCAGCAGATATTGGCTTTAGCCTCCAATTTTGGGGCTGAGAAAGCAAAATGTAATCCCAAAGCAGTACCTCTCACCCCCCTCTGCACCACGTGTCTGACACACTTCATTCCCTGTGATTAAAAGTTAGATGTTTAGCTTCTGTCCTCTCAATAATTCCTAGTGAACTAGGAAGAAAACACTAATCTCTGTTAAGTATCTGCTTTTTTTTTTTAAAAAAAGGAGGAATGCTTAACATCATTCATACACATATGAATGGGTACCCTTAAAAATAGTGGGAGAAAAAAAGCCAAAATAATATGAAAGTTTTGTTGGAGTGTGTGTGAAAAATAAAGGCAGTGCAGTTAAACAGGTAGAAAATATGGTTTGCATCTCAGAACATCAAGTGAGAGAAACAAAGCCAAAAATGAGTGAACTTCCCTGGCAAAAATCTGCATTTCGGGAGGTTAATCTTTGGTTTTCAAAGGCAAAATGAACACTGACACAGCAGCACATTCCACTCCCCAGGTCAGCTTTGCAGGGGAGGTGAAATCAGGTGAGAATGGATTTTAGATTGGCAATTTTATAATTTTCATTAACTGTGGAGGGCAGCCTTTCTTGAAATACAGTAGATTCCCAATGTTTTAGGAGTGGCCTCATCTTGGAAGCTTTTATCCTACAGAGACTGGAGCCAGGCACTGAATTCCAGTGAGGAAAATGTACCCAGGGGAAGACTTTTGAAGACTAAACCCCTTTTTTCCCCAAGTAAAACGTATGTTAGGAATCATCTCTAATAGAAATGTCAGAGAATCATTAAGGTTGGAGAAGAACTCCAAGATCATTAAGTCCAACCACTTGAGGCCAGTTAAAATAAACTGAATGTGGGTTGTTTCCCAATGAAAGTATTATCAATTACTTGATTTTTTCCATTAAAAAGTGAAAATAAAATAAAATAACACCTTTTTTTTTCCTCTCACAGAAGGATAAGTAGATGCTGGTGGCATTCCCATTCTTTGGGCTGCAAATTCCAATACAGGTTGTAATTTCTACCCAGTGCAGTATTAAAGCAATGGCAATTACATGTTGCACTTTTTTGCTAAGTCTAAATTTAATTCCTCTAAGGTGAGAGAGAAAATTGAAGACAGAGTCACTGTAATATCAGGTGTATAAACCCACAGCTTCATTATGCTTGGGAATGAATACTGGATACAGATGACCAGCACTTGAAATTATTTTCTAAAGAGGGTTAAGCCCCCTTAGATTTACATCCCACACTCCAAAAATCCCCACAAAAAAATCACAGAAGCTGAGTCATTACATTTTTCCTTCACTAATTTTACTTGTCAGCACTCAGTGGGTCCTCAATGACTATTCAAAAACACCCTCAATGGACAAACACCCAAAAATTCCTGAGCCACAGCAGAGGAGACAGGTCAAAACAAAAATCCCTGACCAGAAATGGAGGCTAACAAAGCCAACAAATGCATTTTTGTGGATATCAAATCATCTCTTTACAGCAACCCCCATGGAAAATTCACTATTTACCCTCCCAGGTGTGATTTACACATCATCCTGTGGGCAGCACCAGCTCTTCTGATGTCCCCTGGAATTCTGGCCTTCACTTTGGTGGTCCCAAGGTGTCACTGGGACATCTTCAGCTCTGGGGTTGAAGCCACCTTAATATTTTCAGAGCTGATCCCACTTCCCAGGGTGTTTTTAAACTGAGATGTGAAATGAGTCAGAGATGACAGGTAACATTCTCTCTCGATATCTTTAAAAAGCAGGAACACACTTTTCCATGATCACATTTATGGACAGGGATCCTCCAGGAGCAGGTGTTAACACTCATCACAAATAGGAACCCAGAGGTCTCATTTTCATCCATAAATAAGGAGGTTATCAAGCAGCTGAATTCCATCAATTAGGAGACACAGACACCTAAGGGACAAGTGTGGGCTTTTTGTTGGGTTGCTTTCTCTGGTTTGGTTTTTTTTATAAATCATCTCAATATCCACTTTCTTTTCTTGCTCTTCAGAAAAATCTGGCTGCCAAGTACAATTTATTTATTGGCCAGGCCCTTCCTTGTAATGCTGCCCTCTGAATGGGAAACAGAAGTGTAAAAACCTTTCACCATTACCTACATTCTCGAATAAAACACAATAAAGTCCATCTAAACCAAGCTAAAATTCTTTCCTTCCAGTCATCTTACCATTTGTGTGTGGAATGAAACCAAAATCACTAAATCAGATACCAGGAGGCTGTGGGCAGAATGGAACATTAACAATCCAGAGATGATAAAATTTAGGACTATTTTAGTAATCCCTTGATTAAACAGTGCAGTGTCAAGAGACTACATAAGTGACTATTAAGTCCTTGCCAGCTTCTGATCTCCAAAAATCAGCATAACATAAAAAGAGGAACTGGATTCTAAGAACTTCCTGTGGAGAGCTGGATATGTGTATGTAATGCAGCATCACTGAGCAGAAACAAAAGTGAAAGGAAGAAAAGAACACTCCTAACCCTCCTTCCCTACCTCTGCAGCATCTTGCAAGGTCAGCAATTAAAGGTAATTAATTAAATGACTCCCAGCAGTGCCATCCTCCCACAGAGGGAGACTGCACTGAATCCTGGCAGTAATTGCTTTGCACAGCAGAATTATTTACTAATATTACCTAATTCTTCTTCCATGGTGGGACCTTTATTCTGAGAGTTGGAGACACCAAGCACTCTGTTAAATAATATGGAAAATGCACTGCCCCAAACACCTGGAAAAGGGAAATAAATAATGAATGGAGGTCAGTAGAAGAAAAAAAAAACCAAAACACATATTTTAATAATCTATTTAAGCAGTTGGTTGCTCTCTGAACACACCTCTGATTTTGGAACATGCTCAGATGTCCAAACCAGAAACAAAACAAGAAACAAAGAAACAAGAAGTGCCAATCCATGTCTGTGAAATCTTTCCAATTAATCTCTTCACACTTTGTGTGACTGCATTTAAAAGCCCTTGTCCATGAACTACTGAAATTATTTTTATTTTTAAGCCTCTTTCTGTCACATACTCACCCATGAGGAAATGCAAGGGATTTTCATTGTACTTCTTCACCACTGTCCCCATGAAAAACTTGCTGCCAAACAAATCAGGAGACATAAAAGTGCCATATTTGGCCATACCAATCTCATAGGGACTGAATTCCACCCAGTCTGCAAAATCAGAAACAAAATTGGCCTTAGTCAGCAATCTCAACCTGAACAGAAATGAGAAGGAAAACACAGAAATGAATGAAACCTCTGTGCAAGCAAAGAAACTGTAGTGAACTGAGAAGCTAAATAACCAACAGGAAGGCTTTGAAGAAGCCAAAATGCTGATTTCAAATGCAGGACAGTGATGTCTCAACAGGGAAGGAATTCTCAGTCTCGTTTTCTGTTATCACAATCAACCTGGTGAAAAAAAAAAGAGGCTGTAAAACCAGAAGCATTAAAGGAGTGATCACGAGTGAGAAAAACACAATGACATCTGGTTTCCATCTCAAGCCTCACCATAATTCCCTGCCACACCAAGTGTAACGTGGGTCTGAGGGCCAAGTTTCTTTTCTTTCAGTGTGATTCTATCAAAAATGTGAAAAGCAGGGATAAAAGTGGCAGAAAAATGATTGAGTATCACAGAAGTTGTGAAATATTCTAGGAGAGGTATTTGGATTCCACCCAAACCTAAAGTTTATGGTGAAATCTAAAATGCAAAGGCAAAGCTGATAAACTTATGAATTCTAACACTGCCAAAAATATTTTTTAAATCCTTTTTTATTGAACAGAGCTCAAGAAAAATATGGAATATTTCATATTCAATAAACCAGCCCCAAATCTTCACACTCGCTGGAGCAGAAGGGAATTCCTTTGAAGACCCAGTGCAGGAATGGCACAGTACTTCCCTTGAGCTGTATAAACACGAATGGGCCAATATTTAGATATTCAGAACCAGGGGGTAACAGAGCTGAATGGAGAATTAGAATTAATTTAATCTTTGAGAGTCCACCTTGTAATGACTGTCAAGAACAAACCCCCAAAATCCAAACCAAACATTAAATTCCACTCCCTCTTTAACCCTGGATACCAGTGTCTTCAGGTAATTTTTTTATCATTACAGAAGCTGTCATAATTAAAGTAAAGAGCTGTCTTTAACTAAATTACTCTAATTTTGTTCAGTTAAAATGGTGAGTGCAGTTCTGGGTAGGCCATACCACATGGGGTCCCAAAAGCTCTTGGTGAGGGGAAACAGGAGATCTTGTTATCTGATATAATTAACACATTCCAACAGGGAAGGCCTTGCCTCCAACCATAATCAAGTAAATAAGCAAGTGTAAAATAAATATTTCTGCTCAAAACTTACTGTATCTTTCACATCAGGAAAAACTGTTCAGTTCTATAAGAGGGGGAAAAAGCCTAAAATAGAAACAATAAAATCCAGCACCCTACAGAATGATATAGATGACAACCCAAAAAAGCAAACCCAAGATCCACTGCCAGAGGCAACATCTTTTCTAGACCAAAGTAAGGCCTTCAGGTGCTTCTGGTCTTGCTTAGACAAAGTCATTCTTAACTAAAGATGTTTTTAAAGCAGTAAATAAGTAATGTAGAAAAACAGCAGCTCATCTAAAACTCAATATACTTCTATTTTCCAACAAAAAGGTATCAGTTTCTTAAGCAGGAAAGTTAAAGACATTTTCCCATGACAAATTTAGCCTAATTTACACCTCGTTTTCCATTACAACCAAAGCTTTGAGAGCAACTGTTCCTAATAATCATTTTAGGAGACACAATGACTTATAAACCTTGGGCAAGCCACTTGATATTTCCCTTCTCAGTCCTGTACAGAATTATACATAGACAGACACATCCTTTGTGTAGCATCTTGTACAACTGGACCCACTCTCAACTGGGGTTTCTAGATGGGATTAAAACCTGTGGATTAAATAGGAGCAAAAGCCACTCCTGCATCACTAACAGCAGTTGACACTGGGCAAGAGGTAAAAAACAGGCAATATATCTAAATTGTTTGTTCCATTTCAATCACAGCATCACTCAGGTTGGGAAAGACCTCTAAGATCATCAAGTCTAAGTGTTCCTTTCACCCTTCTTAGAAAGGGGAATAATCCTGTATGACTGAAGACATTTCCCTTTAGGTTTTTGATACATTAATGTTAAGCAGTTTTTCCCTGTTGGAGACACCAGATTCCTTTTTATCCTGACTCCTGCTCAGCTCCTTCAAGGGGAAGGAATATTCTTTGCAACTGCTAGGAAATCACTTTTTTAACATATAGAGAACAAAACCTGGCCACCACTTCCCACTTCTCAGGGCTGTTACGGTGTCAGACTTATTTTCAGGTTAAAAAAACAATGGGTTTCCAAAATGGTCTACGAACAAGTCTCCAAATCCAAGAATGATAGAGAAATGAAAGGAGCCATACCTGCAAACATCAGCTCTGACACGTCTGGTTTCACATGGAGACACGTAAAGAGTGGCAGAGCACACTGGGCATTATTGGTTTTCTCTTTCATGTTGCTCAAAGTGGTGTTCATTCTCTGCAGGAAAGAAAGATCAGTTCCAAACAGA